TCTAGGTCTGACAAAGGCTTAACATCCTGGATCTACAAGGAACTGAAGCGTACTGAAAAGAAGAAAACAAACAACCCCATTATAAAATGGGCAAAAGACATGAACAGACACTTCACAAAAGAAGACATTCGAGCAGCCAACAAACACATGAAGAAATGCTCAACCTCACTAATCATCAGGGAGATGCAAATCAAAACCACACTGAGATACCACCTAACTCCAGTCAGAATGGCAATTATCAACAACTCAAAAAATAACAGCTGCTGGAGAGGGTGTGGTGAAAAGGGAACACTTCTACACTGTTGGTGGGAGTGTAAACTAGTGCAGCCTCTGTGGAAAGCAGTGTGGCGATTCCTAAAAGCTCTAAAAATCGACCTTCCATATGACCCTGCAATCCCCCTACTGGGAATATACCCTGAAGAACACAAATCACTCTATAAAAAAGATACCTGCACACGTATGTTTATCGCAGCATTGTTCACAATAGCAAGAACCTGGAAACAACCATGCTGCCCATCAAAAGAGGACTGGATTAAAAAAATGTGGTACATATACATGATGGAATACTACGCAGCCATAAAAAAGAACAAAATCATGAATTTCGCTGCAACCTGGATGGAACTAGAGTCTATAATACTGAGTGACCTCTCACAAAAACAAAAATCCGAATATCACATGTTCTCACTCATATAATGGACCTTGAACATCCAATGCAATACTATGAGAAAATGACGGATGGTACTGGGAAACTATGGGGGGGAGGGGGGATGGGATTAACAGTAGCAAATATCTGTCGGGGGATGGGAAAACACTTCTTATCTACAGGGTGCCTGAATGAAACGTCATTATACACCTAACCCTTAACTGTACCCCACAAAACCATAATAAAAAATACTGATTAATGAAAAAAAAAAAAAAAAAAAGAATGTATAGTGTGTGTGTGTGTGTGTAAAATAATGTTCATTGTAACTAACTCATCCTAATGATCCTGGTACATCTGTCTTCCATCACTCTAATTTTCAGTTCTACAGTTTTGTTGTTGTTGTTGTCTAACATTAGCTATCCCATTTTAGTTCATCTCTAGTCTCATTGAGTTGTTTTTTTATCCTTTAATAGAATACCATAATTATAATTTTTTTGCTTAGCAGCATGATTCTCAAAATAGTAAAATAAGGAGAATTTGCCAAGTAATTAAATATTAGTAATATGTAGATTATTACCAGTATAAAGTATTTGTTATATGTATATATGTATGTATTTTGAGTCAGAGTCTCAGTCTGTCATCCAAACTAGAGTGCTGTGGCACAGTCATGGCCACTGCAGCCTCGACCTACTGGGCTCAGGCAATTCTTCCACCTCAGTCTTCCAAGTAGCTGGAATTACAGACATGGATTACCACACCCGGCTAATTTTTCTTGATTTATTGTAGAGACAAGGTTCACCAAGTTGTCCGGGTTGTTCTCGAACACCTGGGTTCAGGTAATCCTCTGGCCTCCACCTCCCAAAGTGCTAGGAGGATTACAGGCCTGAGCCACCATGCCTGTCCTGTTGTATTTAAGTTCAGACATTAAATGTTAATGCTATGAACTATAATGTTTAGGAATTTTGTTTTTCTTTTAGGAGTGATATATATACTGCATTGATCGTACTAATCCGTATCTTATTATCTTAGAAACACAGTTCATCTGTTGAAAAATTTGTTGGATGACTACCTACTTCTACTTTAATTCATCTGTTGAATTTTTTCTTATTC